TGTGCTACCACGCCCAGCTAATTTTTGATTTATTATAGAGATGAGGTCTCGCCAAGTTGCTTGCCCACGCGGGTCTCGAACCCGCGGGCTCAGGCAATTCACTCACCTCAGCCTCCCAAAGGCGCTGAATTACAGGCTGAGCCACCGAGCCCGGCTCAATTTGTTCTTAAAATGAAATATGCTAACAGGAAGAGGTTGATCTGCTTATAAACAGTAAATCCACCAAGAAAAATTAAGCAGTATGTCCCTAGCATTGTCCAGAGCAAAAATGTCTTGACTCGGTATAGCAATATCAAGTACATGTAGTAAGAATATCTCTAGAGTAGAAATGGATGCTGACACCATGATACCAGCTGTTAAGTTCATTCAACTAAACCCTCCAACTCTGATTTACTGCTCACCAGACAACTTTCAAATTATAATACAGTATCACATATAGATTTGCCCGTAGGAAGAGAAAGAACACATTAGAAAATACATTAGAAACAGCATATCAGGTAATATAATTACCTGTTTCATTATAAATTAATAAAATGGCATTCTGGTTGATTATCAGTTTCTTAGTCAATCAGTACCTTGAGCTGAATAAACACTGAATAAACTACCAACGTCAAATTTCTTAGTCTACACAGTAGAGGACCAAACCGAGCAGAAAGCTAACCTTTTTCCTGCATCCCTTCAAACTATTGAGAAAGAATGAAGTTTTTCTTCTTAAGTCTTCCTTATTAAACTAGAAGTCATAATTGGTGGCCCTTAGCCCAAAACATGTTCAGCCATATAGTTTGGCTCATAATTTTTTTAAATGTCTGAATAAACTGCCATTGTTAAATGTCAGAATATTTCATGTAAAAATCAATTTTTCTGCTTTTTCTCGATTGGAATATCTGGGAACACTAAATCTGACATGACATCAGCTGAAGATATAAATCAATGGTCTCTTCTTTATTAGAAAGCCTGCCAGAGTCCTCAAAATCCATTAATGTCTCCCCAACACTGAAGTGCCAGTTGTCACTGTTCTTGCACTTGTAGGAAGGAGACAGAGAGAACTGTGTCATTTACCTGGATTGCTTCATTCATTTGCTTTACTCATTTATGTTACCCGTCTAGACTCTATAGGTTTTGAGCTTTCAAGTCATGCCTTTGCATTTTTAGAACAAAAACACACTGGAATAATCAGGTCTAACAGATTTTGCTCTAGCCTGTTACCAACTTAATATCAAGCATATCCCATATTCTCTGCTCCTCTCCCTCCCTAACCAGGTGCTCTTAATCTTCACCTCAAAGTCTTCTGAATATCCTTTTTTCTGTTGGCCAATTAGATGACTTATAGGTAATCCTAGATACACAAAAAGGGTCACCTTAGGGAAAGAAAAGAACAGAAAGAATTACATTTGTAATGCTAAGAATATAGGCCTTGAAATGGATAGACTGCGCAGCAGGACTTGGGAAACTCCAAAACAGAATTCTACCTCCACTACTGCCTATGCTTAAGCTCACTCAGACTTCCATAGTCTGTATCCTTATCTATAAAATGAAAACCAATAATGTTATTGTTACAGTGAAATGAAACAGTGCATGTGAAATAAAAAGTCAAAGCACTAAATATAAGGTATTATTATATTTTCTTTTCTATGTTCTACTCCAATTCTGTCAACCTCATCTCTACCCTTAACTTATTCCTTTTTCTTCCAGAAGCCTGGAGGCAATATTTAAAGCATTCATAAGCTTAAAAGGGTTGTCTTGA